ATATAACCGTGCTGTATAATGCCATAGGTGAAAAATGGATTTGGTCTTCATCTACGACTAATGGATTAATATGGAAATAGAACAAAAAGACCCGCTGGGTGCCATGTTCTCTCTTATCGAAAGTGCAACAAAAAAACACAACAATGAAACTTTAAAGTCTCAGGGCCAAGGGGAAAGGCATTGCCGTGGATTAATAAGACACTGCCTTCTGTACGTCTCGGGAAAAATGGTGAAACAAATACCCGTGCTCTTCCAGAAGACGCTGAAAATGAGGCATTACGCTATTTTTCCTCATCTGTCGGGAGCATTTGAGCTCCAAGTGATGCTTTCGTTTTTTATGATGGCGCTACTAAAATGCAATGACAATGGAACAACAATGAAACTTTGACCACCGGCAGTCGGATGCACCATACAGTGGACCTGAGCTGACCGGGGCCTAAAGGAAGCCACTATTTTCAAGGATGCCCAGCTCAGCTCTACAATTTCTGATGGTTTCACGCTTCAGCAAACTCAGCAGGCCGACAGCTGAGGAACTAGCCTACAGGATGAAAGTTGGAGAAGTTTACATGGTTTTTAAGTTTTCATGTTTTATCAGTTCACAACACTGACCCACGGAATAATTCATTTCGTTTTTTTTGTTTGTTTAATACTAAACAATAAAAAAAAATCTACAAATTGGTACAAAAAATGTATTGCACAAACTAAGTAAGTAATTCACCCACTTTAAGTTTTTACAAGTAGGACTGTGCAAAGTTCAGAGTTTTAAAAACTGGTTTGCTTTCATTTCATGAGCTTGAATTTGAATTAGCATGGAATCAAAAGTTGGAAGAATGTACTGAGTTTCAATCAATGTGTTTAATACTAAACAATCAAAAAAAATCTACAAATTGGTACAAAAAATGTATTGCACAAACTAAGTAATTCACCCACTTTAAGTTTTTACAAGTAGGACTGTGCAAAGTTCAGAGTTTTAAAAACTGGTTTGCTTTCATTTCATGAGCTTGAATTTGAATTAGCATGGAATCAAAAGTTGGAAGAATGTACTGAGTTTCAATGGGTGCATTCGTGCAACATTGGTCCCGGAAGTGTTTTTGCCCTTCATTTTTCCCAAAGGGATTTTTAAAAAGCCTCTGTTAAAACATTATATGCCATAAACCAATCCAACCAACCAGCTACGAGGCGAATCAAAACATTACAAACTTTGGTTTGAAGCAAAGAAAGAATTTGAAATGTGCACAAAAAGACAAAGGTAAGATTCTTTACTTCCTAGGTTTAGTGAGACACAGAACTACAATCCCATTAACATTGTGCATGACAATCAAATTAAAAACTAGGGCTGCACGATAAATCTCATGCGATATTTAACGCGCATCTTATCAGTAAAGCCGGTTCTGTAATCAGCGGTAAATCTCCATCACGTGCGTGCTTTCACATTGAGCAGCATTAAAACAATGTTGAAATATAAAACTATGGATTTAAAGTTGATTATATCTGTAGAAAAAAATACATTACGTTTATTGTATAATAAGCATATATATATATATATATATACACACATACAAATATTTAAGTATTTTGAGAGCGGATGAAGACCAACTTGATATGGGAGAGAACTTTCACAGCAAGCTCTTTTGGCACAAATTTTCTGCACAGCATCATGGGTAATGCAGTTTTTCATCACAGATGTTGTCTGCTGTTAAACAGGACTACTTTAAAAATGTTAACAGATGGCTTCAGAAAATATCATCGATAAACAACCTCGGAGCTCACAACAGGTCCGTCTTTAAAAAAATAATTTTTGCTAAGGAGAAAATCAAATTTTACTTTTGGAACCTGACTGTTGCATTTAGTTCAAAATAGTCATATTTCTTTTAAATGAATGTAAATTCTACTTCCTTTCACATTTGAATTGCAATCTGCATCCCATTTCATACCTCAGTTCAAATTCAGTAACTGATTTGGAATTGAAAAGCAATTCTCAATTCAGTTCTGAACTGCGCACAACTCTACTTAGTTGATGCATCTTTTGAAGAATTTCACAAGCCTCAAGTCTGTCTGGATGGGTCTCTGTCAGCCACTGCAATGCTTCCCCCACTGCTCTTTGACAAACTGCTTAAGCTCAGTCTGGTTTCATGGAGATCTGATCTGATCCGAGTCCACCCATAAGTTCTCAATTGGATTGAGATCTCGGCTTGGCCACTCCTGGACTTCAACATTGTTTAGAAGCACTTCTTGTGCAGCTTTGGCTTCGTGCTTGGGTCGCCGTCCCAGAAAATAAATCATCTCCTGGGTCACAGGTGTCTCAGAGTGCATCAGGTTTTCCTCCCGTGTTTCGCTGCATTGATTTCATCCGCTACACCCCACAATCCTTCCAGGATCTACCGCAGAACTTCATCACCGCGCTTCATGGTCGGGATGCTGCGTTTCTGATGATGCACAGCGATTGGCGAACACCAAACATGGCATTTCGTTTGATGGCCAAAAGCTCAATTTTGGTCCCATCAGGCCAGAGGCTCTTCTTCCATCTGGCTTCAGAGTCTTCCTCATGCCTTCTGGCAAACTACGGCCGAGATGTCATATGACATTTTCAACGGTGGCTTCTCCCTGTCACTCTTCCATAAAGCTGTGACCGCTGAAGCACCCAGATGACAGTTTTCATATCCACAGTCTCTCCAATCTCAGCCACTGAAGCTCCTTCATTGGTCTCCAGTGTCCTTCTTGCATGGCCACTCCGGTTTTGAGAACATCCTTCTCTACGTACATTGACAGCCGTACTCCTTCCATTTCTTAATTATTGACTGAACTGTACTCCAAGGGTAAGGGCTAATCAATGACTTGCATCCATCCTCTGCCTTGTGCTCTTCAATATTTTTTTCATTCCGGTTCTTTCACAAAACTGACCTTCCATATCGAGGTATATTTATATTAGAATCAATTGAAACTCTGATGTACCAAGATGTACAAATAACATGCATTTTAGGCGACCTCAAAAGTCAATTGCTTCTTTAAAAATCTAAAATAATTGCAATTGAATAATGTAATTTCGATCACTTTGTAGACATTGAAGTATAATTCATATACTATAGCGTTTATTATTTTGATTTAGCTTTTATTTTCAGTTTAAGTTTTATTTTCAATTTTAGTTTGTTTTAATAATTTTGTGCTGTCATTTTTATCATTTTACAAGCTGGGGTTCATGAATGAACTGGAGGGTATTATTTTTGCTTCATCTCAATTAACGGAAAAAAAAATCATTTTAGTTAACAATAACTACAGTGGTGCCCCCTTTTCTTTTCTTTTTTCCAGTAGCAGTGCATAACATGAGACAAACAAACAATCAAATTAAGATAACAGAAATATTAGAATATTAACTTAAATGACTTTGAACTCAATGCAGACAATACTCAACATTTTTCAAACACATTCAATATTTTGTACACCAAACAGCATACCAGGTCAATTTTATTTACATTTTAGAAATGACAAAGCATCAGATGGCTAATTGCTCAGAAATATTATCATTACATATGGCTTAGCACTCAAACGATTGACAATGATCCACTGAAATCTATATTTCAGCCATGTTGAGCTTTTATGATTCTACCATACAGGGCAGTCAAATGACTTCAGGCCCATTCACACCAAGAACGATAAATATAAAGCTAACTATAAAGATATCAGCGTCTGTTTATTCTCAGCGCATGCTCATCTTCCTCTTTAAATTCTCGAGCTTGTGACAGCAGGATTGATTATGATTGGCTGTCAATATTTTTACTGTTCATCAGCTGGAAAAAAATCATTCTGAAAGTGATTCCAATGAAATCGTTTCTCTGTGTCTTTATCGTTATAGTTGTGGTGTGGACTCTGCTATTCTTTCTCTGCTATTTACAACTATATCTTTATCGTTATCATTATAGTTATCGTCCTTGGTGTGAACGGGCCTTTAGTCTCATTGGGTTTCAGTTTTCTCCTCCATCATTAACAGATAAACAAGTGCCCAGATTGTTGTGTGTTTATCAAACCGCTAAAACCACTATTCTTTAAAGGGGTCATATGATGCGATTTCAAGTTTTCCTGTGCCTTTGGAGTGTTACAAGCTGTTCATGCATATATAAGATCCATTAAGTCTCAAACCCAAAGAGATATTCCTTATGAAAGTTAAGACTCGTCCACGCCCTCCTAAAATGCCTCGTTTAAACACGCCCCCACATGTCTACATCACTATGTGGGAAGATTTGCATAACGCCGCCCAAATGTTCACGCAAAGAAAGAAGGCGTAACTTTGATTCTTGCTGTAGTATTGTCGATGTCGTGGAGATGCTGTGTGTTTCCAAATATGATAAGGAGTGTAACATTTACGTCACACGCTTGAGGTATTCGGCCAATCACAACACACTGGATAGCTGGCCAATCAGAGCACCTCGCTTTTCAGACCGATGAGCTTTGTAAAAATCTACGCGTTTCAGAAAGGCGGTGCAGAGAGGAGCAACAATGTGCGGTATGTGGAAAATAATGTGTTTTTTTAACCTTAAACCGTGTAAACACCATTTCATTACACCAAATACACAAAATAATGTTCTTTTTAGCAACATCATATGACCCGTTAGGTTCTAGATATCTAGTTTCAAATTAGCCCTCTATTTATAATTTTTTCTAGCAGGAACGGCTGGAATCCTAAATTGGGTGAATATGATTAAAAAATTTATGCGGTTAAACATATGCAATTAACCTCATAAGTGAACACATTAACATGACTGCCCTCATCTCAACCCTAACAAAGATGACCACTCTTGTACTACTTCATTAATTTATTAAGCAATTTACAGAAATAATGGCAGAGCAGAACTTGCATTCAATATTATGTCTACCTAAACTATTAATAAACTTTATTTTGATAAATCCTAACTCCTAAGCTGTGAATGCATTTGTGCAATTTAGGTCCTCCTTGTAAGTTAACTATTTGTATAACAGTCAACAAAAAGAATGAACTTGAGCATGACTGATATCAAGGTCTTTTATTACCGAAGTAAAAGCTCCTTCACAGAATAAACAGGGATTTTTCTACTCAATAACATAGCAGGAAGTTCTCAATGTCGATAAGGAATGTCAACATCCACATGAATGCTCATGCAAAAACGGTTGATGGTGTTTATCCCTGTTAAGCATTTGCTCCCAACCAATCCTTAGTGCCTAGAGTGACCAATTAAACCATATGCTTTCACCAGGTGCCAAAACACACGGCGGAGCCGGGAGCAAAGAGTTATAAAAAAAGAATTGTATCTTGATGACAAATCAAAACAGAAAACGAAACACAGACGGAAACCTAATGTCGACGTGTGACGATGTACAACTTCAGAAGCATTGCACAGCGCATATTGAATTCAAAACGTACAGTCCTTCCACCGCTGCGCAGGTTCAGTATTGAGAGTACTCCTTAGTTTGAAGTTTAGTGACGATGCGCTCCAGTTGCCTCTTAGCCTCGCATTGAGGGAAGTTGCTCATTTCGTAGTATCCTGGAGCGATTTTCACCAGCCTGAAGGATGAGATGATACGCAGAATGTTTGCTTGGTTTTGTCTTTCTTTGTTGCAGAAGCATTTGCCAACAACGCACAAACAAATTCAATGCATTTGCATGTTTTATCTTACCATTCGGGTTTGATATCAGTGCAGGTGCGGATGTAGTTCTTGGTTGTCAGCACAAACTCGTTATAGAGAACCCACTCGGGCTTGTGGTCCAGTACGGTGGAAGGGTGCAACTGGACCACCTGGTTGTCCTTCACTGTGAGATAGTGGCCGGTGCGCTCCAGGTGAGCAACCTGATAACACCAGAGACGCAAATGAATTAATAAATCAACCACAAGCTAACCAAACGCGTACGCGGCCGTTTCTTCAGACGCCGTAAGGATGTCGAGATTAACCTGGGCAATCAGTCTCAATAAACGGCCGACTCGAACAGATAGAGCGCTTGGTAATTCGTACACTAAGGCACAAATTTGTCTCACCGGTAAAGGTTAATGTTGACAAATATTTCAATATTAATGGAGTAATTCAACTAGTCAGGTCACTTATTTCAGGAACCCCCTCCCGGAGAGCGACTTGATAAAAAACGTCATTTATTTTCGCTACGCCGGACCAAAATTGCCGTGATTACTTGTGTGCGTTTAAACGATCACACTTTGATAGAAAGCCATGCATGACATTAGCAAGCTCCAGTGATCCTGTTTTCCCGACAAGACACAGTAACTTTTAATTCAGACAGAGGAGAATAAAGGGAGAAATCAAGCTTTGCTTTAAAACTAGATGTATTTTCGTTTAGGATTAAGAAAAATGCAGAGGACTAAGAATTAACTAAAGTGATATGATCACTCTAGGCTGTTTTATTAGAATATATTAATGGTCAAAGGGTGTTACTGTCTTGACAACCCTTCAGCTGAGACTGTATTAACAATACAGAATTGCTGATTCCAGTACATTACTAAAAAAAAAAAAAAAACGGGGTAGGATTTTCTTTGAAACCATTTTCACTCAGAAATGGCTAAAAACTAGTGCGTTTAAACTATGGAATCAAAAAATAAAGGTAATCACTAACTTTCCCTCTTTGCAATTTTGAGTATATATCTCAAGACTTTTTTCTTGCAATCCTAAGAAAAAGCCACAAAAGCAAGATATAAAGTCAGAATAGCAAAATAAATAAATTAATAGTCAGACAGTCAGATTAAAAACAGTCAGAATTGTTAGAGAAAGTCACAAGTACTTTTTTTTTTATTTCGTGGCAGAAACAAAAAACAGAATTGTAAGATAAAACACTGAATTAAAAGATATCTTACTTTTTTTCTCAGAACTTCAAGAAAAACATAAAAATTGTGAGATAGTTGCAATTACCTTTTTTTATTTACCTTATTTTAAGTTTTATCTCAAAATATATTTTTCATATTTTTCTAAGAATTGCAAGAAACAAAAGTCCAAATTGTGAGATAAAAGGTTGCAATTACCTTTATTTTTATCCCATGTACAAGTAACAAACTGAAAAAAATTTTTTTAAACTTTAAAAAATACACTCCAATAGTCTGTGTTTTATTTACACCTTTGACATTTTTATAGTGTATTTAAGTAAATATTTTCATGAAAATATTATGTAAATTCAAGTGGCGTGCTTCATATATTGAACATTCAGCTGGAACACTACACTGACCAATCAGCATCCAGAACTAGTTTTATATTACTGTCTTCAGGCAAACTCTACACGGTATTATAACTACAGTCAGTGCATATTTATCAAGATCAGTTCAAGTGACCCACAAGGCCACATCCATTTTCTGTTGATATGCCAACACATTATGTTTTAAGCCTCTGGGTTGACGACATTTCCACCGGATAAAAAGAGGAATATCGCAATGGACATTACAATTTACTATAAAGCACATCTCTGTGCACAATAACATTCAGGGAGATCTACAATGGCACACATTACAGATGTTCAAAACACTCTGAATCAAAACCTCGGCAGGACTAAAGAAGCTTACTGGGTTGTTTTTTGTTCAATAATTTATATTTTTGGCAAACGCACCTGCATGAAGAAGCCTGTGACGAGAGCGCGGCGGATGTTGATGTAATAGTCTCGGCTGGTGAACTCTGTGCTGCGTCGCGGCAGGCTGAAGCGGTCCATGATGCGTGAGAGCTGCTGCCGCACGTTATCAGCCGACATCAGCGAGCGGTAGTTAACAAAGTTATCATAGCACCACTGCACCGACTCGTGGTCTTAAACAGAAGAGTTAGACATTAAAACCAGCTTAAGAGCAACATCCAAGCAGATCTGAACTCTGACCAGCACATCAAAATCTACAAATTTACAAAACACTAAATATGCAGCTTAATAGCAAAAACTAATTGAAGATTTAAGCTGCTGCTTCAAGGTGAAGTGTGTAATTTCTGCAGCGCTCGCGTCACCAAGAAAAAAACGTTTCTAAACAGGTCTCCCAAACTCTTCTCCACTTATCTGCTACTGGAAGACCAAACATATTGCCACACCAATCTCAAGTTGAGTCAATGTTGTCAGGATGTTCAAACTAAAAGAACAGTGTTTCACAAGCACCTCCAAAACGGTTTATGCTTTCGAAGGAATCATCCTTCAAATGGCTTGCTTGTAGTTGTCCATCGACATTAGCTAGACAACATTCAAAAAAATTACACACTTCACTTTTTACGTTGACATTAGCTAGACAACACTGAAAAAAATTACGCAGTTCATTTTTTAAATTCACAGAAATGTATCCATACAGTGCAACAATGACAGAACTACGCAGAAGTTATTTACTATATTAAGTTACTTTACTGTTAAGTACTAAGAATGCAAGAAAAAAGTAATACCGATACCATACCGGCTATAGGCCCATGCTGTTATTTAGCTGGAAGAAATGTATTCCTCAGAGAATCAGCATTGTATAAAGCAATTAAATGCCTAACTTAGTGCTGGGCGGTATGACCCAAAATTTGTGTCACGGTATTTTTCAAAATTATACCGGTTTCACGGTACATGACGGTATTTTTTTTTCATGCATGACCGGGTGTTAACCATATTTTCTACTGATTGAGAGAGGACATACTGCAGTATATTGACTTAGAATGACCTATTTTACTGTGAACATTGTCAAAAAATACCACACTAAATAGTGACTAAACACGACCCCTTTTAATACATGTTAACCAGGAGTCACTCTCATTTATAATCGCGGCATCGTCTGATAAAATCAACATGCATCTACACTAAAGAGCGGCTATAAGGTTGTTTTGGCTATATTACTTTTTTCTCTCATGCAGCGACAAACTACACTCATATTTATAATTCGCCAGTATACCGCCCAGCACTAACCTAACTTTCACTAAACATTGGTAAAAACCTTGCTAAAATGTATTACAAAGACAGTATAGGTCAGGAATAAACTAAAACAAACAAACATTCACATTAACTGATTTCTTTATTTCTACATGTCTACTGACGTCCTGGAATTTTCAAAGTACAGAGTTTAGACCATTTTTCAAAAAATAGCAAAAATGCAAAGTCATATCAAACTATGGAGCCTATTTATGCAAGTTATTTTTAGTAGTTAAAGAATAATTACTACTATGTTTGAAATACGCTTTGATATGAATATTACAGTATTCAATTGTCATTTAATGAAATTTCTTAATTTTCATGAGTGCATCCAAACTGGTTGGAATATATTTTCCAAATGCATGTGCACTGAATTGTGTTAACATTCACTTAGTGTATAAAAAATAGTTGAGAAAATTTGCAACCCTAAATGACCAGCTTTGCATTTTTGCAACATTTTTTCTAGTTATAACCCAATTCTGCCAAAACGGAATGGATTTCAAAACTAAAGGTTTCCTAAAGACATGCTAAAGGAAGGTGGGGGGAAAAAAAACCTGTGAATGTCAATGCTATTTTGTCCCTCAAGGTTAACTGTAAACTCTAATTCAATTATGTAATTTAACGCTAATTTAAAGGGTTTATATCCAAGATTACAGATAATACCTATAACTAATCATATATTTATTTACGTTTTAACGCCATGCCAGCATCAAGGCTATTTTCATGGCGATCTCTGAATAAATTATACAAGGTATACAATTAACAAAAGGTTATAAAAGACATTTCAGATGTACACTAGACAGAAATTCTAAAACACATTCAGGTGATACATTTTTAAATAAATCAGTCAGACACGCCTCTGAATAAAACCGGTGTCTACTTACATTAAAAACAGTACAATCCAATAAAATATGTTTCACAGTCATTTTAACTAATCATTAAAACCTATTGGTTTAGGACTAATAATAATAATAATACTAATAATATTTCAAAAGAAATGTGTTAATCTGTCAGTGTTGATACACAATATGATTAACATATTTCTTTTGAATGGTGCTTTAGAAAAGCCTGTATTGTTAAAAATTGTGATGCCAAAATTTACTTTTTTTTTTACTGACAAATAAAAATGCTTTAACATGAAACTTGTCAGCCTCACATAAACATCCTCTTCCTGACTGTTAGCATGCTTCATATGAGCACTGACTACTAGATAAAACCAGTGAGGTGCGAGAAAACCCATGGGGTTTGGGAGAAAACATGGAAGCTGACGTGACGAATGAACTGCACGCAAGTCGCTGTGCCTTTCAGAACAGTTTTAATAGCGCGCAGACAACGATTTTGATGAAACAAATGACGATTTTTGGCCACCTACAAAAACAACCTGAAATGAGTTGTAATAGATTTAGGCAATTAGGCTAATTAAAAACGGGTGGAGGGAATCATCTCACATGAGCACAAGATGCTAGTGTGTGTGTGTGTGTGTCGTGTATACGTACTTTGTTTGAAGGCATGGTAGACGTTGAGCAAGGTCAGGTGGTCCCCGTCGATGTGGGCGAACCTCATTTTGGACTCGTCGGCTGCCTTCTTAGCTTCCGTGGGCCGCACAAAGCAAGCAGGGACTAAACAAGGTTGGTATGGGCCCCAACATAGCCGCCCATAGGGATGAGTCAAGCGTTCACCCAGACAGGACACAAGGCCTAGTTCTGAGGCTAGAGCACGGCACAGGGTACGCTACACCAAATGGGCCCCGTGAAGCCGTGGTTTACAGTGAATTTATAACAGCTAAGGGGGTCGTGCCTCCGCTTCGCGTCGTACCTAACAACGCCCCTTAGCTGTTATAAATTCACTGTAAACCACGGCTTCTTGGGGCTTATTGCTTTAATCAACAATGAGCATCAATGTGTTTTCACTTTTTTTGTGATTGTATTCGATTTATGAAGGTGCTGTATTTTTTTAATGCAATTTCAGCAGCAAGGCAATTTTTATGGCGAAAACAGAATAACAAAAGTCATATAATTAAGAAGATATGAGACATCTAAGGTTAACTAACACTAGACAAAAAAAAAATCAAATACATTCAGGTGATACTTTTTGAATGCATCAGTTAAACACACCTCTGAATAAAATCGTTATGCAGGTGCTGTAAATTGAAACTTTTTTTATAGTCTAATTGTACAATATTGTCGTATTTTGCACAATTGCAATTTGGATAATTTTATATAGTACTGTATAAATAAAAATTGATAATTATTTCATTTCAACAAGTTTGTCAATACAGAGATGCTACATCCATTGCATCTGAAAGGTTTTCTCACGGACACGCTTTGCAGTGACTTTCATTTTAGTTGAACTCAAATGCAATCTTTCCGATGTGACTTGAACACACCATTTTAACTATCGAATTAAATTACTGTGATGCATGATTGCCAATCATACATAAATAAAATGGGTAAGAAACAGGTCAGATTTCTGCACTCAAATAACAGCATAGTTTATTAGGATTCTTTAAATACTGTATGCAAATATTTTCAAAATGCGTTTACTCAAATTGATTAGAATCACCTGCAAACTATTACATTTATTTAATTTAAATACATAAACAGGGTTACATTTTGGCTAGCAGTTGAACAAGCAATATTCAATTAGCTGAAATGTAGGAGATCTGGTTACTGTGACTGACAAAAATGCATCACATTAAGTTTATAGATTGAAATCCTACATGTAATTCAAAAACATAAATCTTAAATTTAGACCTAAATATTGTTTCAGTGTAATTAGGAATAAGTGCGGTTCAAATGCTTATGAGTTTAGGTTATACTGGACCCGATCTGAAGATTTACTCTGGTCAGATCAGACTGATGGACAAAGCCTGAACCTCTAAAGCGCTAGTAAGCGATCGTATCCTATGTCCTTCTCTCCCCCACCCCTCTGCATCAGACATTTAATAGCTTCAAGCGCCATTCTGATTTGGCAGTCTAACAGTGTGACACATTAAGACACTGGACTGTTTGTGAGCACTTCCTTTGAGAGTCGTTCTAGATAATGGCTTCAGCCAAGCAGCTAAAAGCAGATTGTTTGTTTATGCAACCATTATGACTAACTTGGTTGGCAACTTGAAATTATGCATATGTAGACAAAACAGAAGACTAACATTTTTTGCTCTGCTAATTGATAATGCGTGAGCTACAAAGAATTAATATTTCATAGTCCATTAGACTACTCTAATAAGTCTTAGATCATATGCAGGGGTCGTGTGTACGTGAGCATATACTACCTGATAGCATCGCGGTGATGGACAGGATCTCATTGGAGCAGTTGAAGTCGCAGCTGGCGATGACCATCTTGGCCAGCTGGGGGTCGAGAGGGAACTCAGCCATCATGGAGCCCAGCTCCGTCAGGTCACCGTCGTCATTCAGCGCCGCGAGATAGTTTAACAGCTCCAGGGCTCGCATCAGGGTTTCAGGAGCTAGCAGAAAAAATATATTATAATACATGAAATTGAAATGTGAAACTAAATAGGAAAATACTACAGGAGCTTTCGGGCATTCAGAGTAAAGGTGTGTAATATTGAGGACTTTGGGGGAAGGGGGGGTGGATTTTTGTCGATGACAATAATTAGACAATATTTGTTTAGCAGTGTGTTTAGTGAGTGTTTGTGCTGGTTTAGGCCTGCTGTGGGGCCTGGCCCCAAATTACTACCCTTATTAAAATGCATGTAATTTTATGCCAAATTTTTACATTTAATTAAATTTAATAATTACAAATATTATTACAAAATTAAATAAATTAATAAAATTACAATTGCATAAATGCAATTTATTAATGATACATTTAAAAAAAGTAATATTGAAATAAAACTAACTGCCAGTGAGAGGCAGAAAGTCTTAATGAGTAAGTCATTAGCCGGGTTAAAGTTGCAAATTTAACTTGTGCGCAAAATTGGAATATCGCACAAAACATTTGCGAACAAGCACTGTTTCCATCCAACGAGTCAAAGAGAACAAAATCATCACTTCCTGATAAACTGGCACTATACATCACTAAGAAAAGTAGGAGAAGCTACTGAATATAATAATTTTCCTATATAATAAATTACTTGCACCTCAGAGCGAGCAGACGAAACACTATGAATGCGGTCATTGCTTTCGGAGGTGGATGCTGCTGTTTGGGAACGCAGTCGTTTAACAGTTCTGGGAGGCAATTATACAGAAATACTTTGACAGACTTTGCTCGGGCATTTCCGAAATTACCATAACATTTCAGATGCTGTGAATGAGATCGGTCCGCTGGTTAGTCAGGTTTTGCCGTCCCATAGCGCAAGTCACATGACTTTTTTGATGCGCTTGGAGGAATATATTCGCAAAATGCATTTCCATCTCCCATTATTCGCATTAACCCTTTTTCGCACAAGTCAAAAACCACCTCAAGCGAGCGTAAAAACTTTTGCGAATTAAGGCATTTTTATTCGAAATTCAGTGTTTCCATCTCTCAATTCTAATGCGATACTTCAAAATGCGCATAAAAGCAGGGTGATGGAAACCCAGCTATTGAATCATTCATTCAATCAGTTTGTTCAAAATGGCTGATTCATAAAGAAAAAGTTTGTGACTGTGGGCCTGTCCCATTACCCACACCTGCAGTCTTGGCAACACCTAAGAGAAACACCTAAGAGGTGCAAGTGTGGGTAATGGGACAGTCCCACAGTCACAAACTTTGTTTCTTTATAAATTAAAGAATTCTGTAACACTTTAAGGACCAATTTTCACTATTAACTAGTTGCTTATTAGCATGCATATTACTAGCACATTGGCTGTTTATTATTACTTAGAAAGAACATATTGCCTTATTCTGCATGACCATCTTTTTAGATCCCTTAATATACCCCATACACCTAAACTTAACAACAACCTTATTAAATATTAATAAGCAGTAAATCAGGAGCCTGAGGCAAAAGTCATAGTTAATTGTTAACAGTGAGAATTGGTCCCCAACTAAAGTGTGACCAATGATTCCTTATGAATTAAGGTTTATTTCACTTCTGAAATAACTCCATATTTCAATATTCGAAATGTTATATATTTATAAATTGCATTATTTATGCATATACAGTTTCATAAATTGTCTTGTTTAATTTTGTACTAAGTGTGCAAGACTGTCCCAACTTTAGGCCCTTAAACACTAAATTCACACTTTAGAGCAGTATTTCAGGCTAAGATTGTCCCACTACTCCCATATTATGAAATCACTTCCCAGTGCAATATATCATTTGGTAGTAAAATGTAAAGTGTTGCACATTGTACTGGTTCAGAGATGATCATGTGAATTTTGTAAAATGTTTGCAACTGCTGCTTATCACTTAATTACAAGCACCACAATTAAATTGTATTTTTATAGGAACATTTTATAGCCTCCATTGGGTAATCAAAGGTATTACACACACTTGCATCCTTCACACCCACTTGAACACTTCGGCCAAATACAGGTAGACAAGTGGTCAAGCGCAAAGACCGCAAGTGTAGGTATTGATTACACTTTTATAAACGAGTTCTGAATTATTCACTCAATTATTCACTGGTTTTTAGTTTGATTTTTCAAATCTAACCCCAAGCATGAAGAAAATGTAATTGTGATACTTGTCTTAGATACCTTATTTAAAACAAAAATGCACATAATGAAAGCCATTTTCTTGCTGTGAAAACAATGTGGCTGTGGTCTCCTGTACAACTAACTTTTAATTCAAGACAAAGGGGGCTAATTTTTCATCTGACATGCAAGCAGTTCCAAACAGCAGTGCCACTAATTCAATTATAGGGAGGAACCTCTACTTAATGCATCAACACTGGTCACACACCAACAAATTCAATTACTGACCTTTGGCTCTAGAGAGTTTGGCTCTAATGACCAGTTGCATGTTAACTGAAAATTAGCATTGCCTAAGGTTTGGAGGAGTTTGCAGAATAGGATGAAAGACTGCGGCTGTCTTTATCAATGAGTCAGGAAAACTTCATTTAAAAAAAGTGCAGGGATCTGGTTTATCAGACATACTTTTTCTATTAGTTGTGAAAGGGTGTTGCATTACTCGTGCTAAAGCAAGTAATACGTTTGAGGCAAAAATTAAGTATAGGTGCCATGCAGTGAACCCAGCTGGAAAAAGTTATTTATACATGTGGACAACACATCAGAATTAACTATAGCAGGGAACGTGCCGGAGTTAACTGAAGGCAAAAGCAATGAGAGAGAAAGCTAAATGTGTTTTAAAGTGAAGAAAGTATAAGCAAGCATTTGGCAAATGCCACCAGGCAAATGGCTTCCATTGGCTTCATCCAGCAATACAAATCCCTGCTGTTTTTTCATTTGCGTGTCTGATTGAGTGCATTTAAGTTATTTCTATATTTTGCTGTAGTGTGTCAGTAGGAAATATCGGTTTACATTTCCAAACATTCATTTTGCCATTAATTGTAATAATCCAGTGAGATTTTTGTCGGACGACAGCCAGTGCTCCACACAGAGATATGATCATCATCCAGTCTGTCTGGAATTACATGAAGAATCAGAACAAACTGAGACAGACTAAGAGTGTGTGTGTGTGTACCTGTTTTTCTATTCTGGTGGGGACTTAAACCTGAATACACACAGAATCATGGGGACTCGTGTCACGATGGGGACCTAAATTGAGGTCTCCACAGGCAAACAAGCTAATAAATCACACAGAATGAAGTTTGTTTAAAATCTAAAAATGCAAAGTTTCCTGTAAGGGGTAGGTTTAGGGGTAGGGTTGGTGTAGGACAATAGAATATACGGTCTGTACAGTAGAAAAACCATTACGCCTATGGAGAGTCCCCACAAGGATAGCTG